CCCCAAATAGTAGAAAAATCTTCTGGCTTAAAGTTCTTGGTTGTTTCCTCTGCCACTCCATTAAATGTTCTTTGAAATTGGGAGGAAGTATTTCAAAAATCCTGGCAAAGAGGAGTCAGTAAGCACACGCTGTGCACAGTTTGTAATGGAGTGTAGCAGGCTGGCTGTCCTGCTGCCTGTGATTGGAATTGAATAGCTGTCTATACAATCAGCCTAACCTCAGATGTACATACTTTTGAAATTTATAATGATTCATATCTCTGATAGAAACTCATGGTTAACAATGCAGCTAAAGCAAGCAAGAAAATTCTCTCTAAAACAGAAGTTGTCCTCTCTTGATTCTGGTAACTGCTGGTAGCATTCCAGTACTGTTCCCATATTTATTTTATAGTTTCATGGTGTGTCACAGATGAGGTGTCCAAAAGGACAATGGCTACAAGACCGCACAGTAGAGAAAAGTATAAAAACTGCACTACTGATGTGTTTATTACTGGAAGTTAGTCTTGGCTCTAAGTTTGCTGCACTTAGAGTGGTTCTAAGTATTTCTTCTAAACTAACAACTTTCTTTAAAAGCTTCTTTTTTAGTAAAATGAAAAACAGTAAGGAATTACATTCAAGATTATCTGGATGCTTCTGCTTATCTGTTCAAACACAGTAGACTTGCTGTTTTATGGAATGTATTTAACTTTCATTTTTGTACATTAAAGCTATGCAAGAGGAGGCACTGAAACTTGTATTACTGGCACTGGAAGATGGCTCTGCACTCTCAAGAAAAGTTTTGGTACTTTTTGTTGTGCAAAGGCTGGAACCAAGATTTCCTCAGGCCTCTAAAACAAGCATTGGTCATGTTGTGCAGCTACTGTATAGAGCATCATGCTTTAAGGTAAAACACCTCAATTGTGGTTTGTGCTGTGCTGCTGTTTATTATGATGCATGTGGAGATTTTTGGTTAAAGAAGGAATGTTTAACTATTACTATTTATTAGGTCACTAAAAGAGATGAAGATTCTTCTCTGATGCAACTTAAAGAAGAGTTCCGGAGTTACGAGGCTTTGCGGAGAGAGCATGATGCCCAAATTGTTCACATTGCCATGGAAGCAGGACTTAGAATATCACCAGAACAGTGGTCTTCTCTTCTTTATGGAGACCTGGCACATAAATCACACATGCAATCCATTATTGACAAGGTTTGTCAAAAGGATGATTTTAGTATCTCTGTAGGATTAGTTTTGACTCTTAAACGTTACAATAAAAATCAAAGAACTTAATGAATTAACTTTTTGTTCATAATCCTATCAAATATTAATTAAAACTAGATTGAATTTTTTTCCCCTGATGTAGCATATTCATCATACGAAGTACTTTAATTAACTTTTTGGTGTCTTATGATGAAGCTTCATAGGGCAGATTCTGAGTTGAGAAATAAAATTTCTCTCCACTGATCCTCTCTATATGCCATCTGAAGACACTGTATATTGCATTTAGAAACCAATGTAATTAATATCTTTTCAAGATTAGTAACTATCAGTTGTAAGATGCAGCACACTAACGCTCCCTTTATTTTCAGCTTCAATCTCCAGAATCTTTTGCTAAGAGTGTACAAGAATTGACAATTGTCTTGCAGCGCACGGGGGATCCTGCAAACTTAAACAGGCTGAGGCCTCATTTAGAACTCCTGGCAAACATAGATCCAAATCCAGGTATGCAAATCAAGCTTTTTTTAAGCTTTTCTTGATATTCTTCATATCTAGCAAAGTGAATTATTAAGATGCTAATCTCCAGTCCTGCTTTTGAAATTTCAGTTGATGAACATAATAAACTCTTCTTCAGGGCTCTCTGAGTCCTGTGCCAGTACTTGGTGCTGTAAAGTAATACAAGATATGCCTCTTATTTATGATACTGGGATTACTTAAAGGGTGAAAATCCTGCTTTTTATAATTTTAGATGCAGCATCTCCAACATGGGAGCAGCTGGAAAATGCAATGGTCGCTGTAAAGACTGTGGTCCATGGGCTGGTGGATTTCATTCAGAATTACAGTAGAAAAGGCCATGAAACTCCACAGGTAACCAGACTTGATCATTGCATTATGTCTTAATGTACATTTACTGAGAGATGCAACTTTGAAAAATTACTGTTGATTTGAAATACTTATGGCATTTCCTGTGGGATAATTGATGATACTGTTATTTACTGCATTCAGATTTTGAGAACCTAACGTTTGTGAATATGAAATGCAGAAGACCTGGCCATAGTGAAATCCATACAAGGACAATTTAGCCCCTAAACAAGGAGTGTCCTTGTTTTTCTGATTAAAAATATAAAATGTAAAAATGTACCATGGTTGTATTTTCTGTATTTTAAGCCTACTTTTATGTGAATGTCTGATAGATGGTAAGAGGAATGTCTGGTGGTTTTTGTTGTTCTTTTTTAGCCACAACCAAATAGCAAATACAAAACAAGTATGTGCCGTGACCTTCGACAGCAAGGGGGGTGTCCAAGAGGAACAAATTGTACATTTGCTCATTCTCAGGAAGAGCTTGAAAAGTGAGTGTGGGAGACTTTTTCCTTTTTTGTCCTCCTTTTAATTTAAATCCAAGCAATCTACAGAGATTTTTGAAAACAGTCTCTTCCATACATTCGTTCATTTGGAGGGATTTGTGACTCTTAACATGACAATTCTTTATATGAAATTGAAGATACAGCAAAGCAATGTCTGCAGACTAATTCCAGTTTTATTTTTTATTTTACCCCATACAAGGTAAACTTTTCTTTCCTGAAACTGAGTCTAAACTCAGTGTCTTTCAGAGATTGGTTATATTGCCTGCAAGAGAGAATGTTAATTACATTTTAATTGATTAAGAGTGAACTGAGTATTTAAACAGTATGTAGCTCTGCATTCTTGAAGCTGTTTTCACCCAAATGCATTTTCAAAGAACTGCAGAATGGGTCTTTTAAGAGGAGAGATCATTTTGGTTTCCAGTTGTTGAAAATAAGTTTGTAGTTTTTTGGTGTCATGTTCCTCTCAATCCCTTCTTTTTGCTAGTTTTACTAATCCATTAAACTTCACAATAAGCACTTTTTATACCATCTTTTCTTCTGTGTGTTTGCACATGTTTGTTTGTAGATATCGCTTGAGGAACAAAAAAATCAGCGCAACAGTGAGAACATTCCCCCTTCTAAATAAAGTTGGCGTAAACAGCACCGTCTCAACCACAACAGGAAACGTGATCTCTGTCATAGGAAGCCCCGAGGCAACGGGCAAGATGGTGCCAAGTACTAATGGAATAGCAAATCTAGAAACTGGAGTTCCCCAGCTGATCCCCCGCTGTGCAGACACCTCCCTGAGAGCTCTGGAGAACACCAAGAAGGGAGGGAAGACTGGATCCAATGGCCAGAATGCTTCTGGGTCCCCTACAGAATCACTTCCTGAAAGGTAGGTGACTCTTCTTTACATCAAGACAATATAACAGAACATTCTGCTTTTAGATTATCTAAAATAATAAATGAGGTTTGTGGGTGGCCAACAGAGAATGTGGTCATGGCCTGCAGTAATTACTGGTGCTCTGTGGTTGCAGAGCTGTGTAAGGTCTTGCATTGCAGTGCAGGTACAGTCACACAAAGCTTGTGAGTTCAGGGTGTCAGAACCCATTGTTTAGCTGTGCATTGTAGACAAAATAGTAAAGCTCTTCCTTTATCTGTTACTCAGTTGTTCTCAGCCTGGTATCTTAGTTACTGTTGGGTTATTACATAAAAAGTTATACAAATAAATTATATGTGCATTACATACTGTTGGGTTATTACATACAAGGATAGTATTGCATGCAATGAATTGTACTCAAAATTTGGCACTTCCCAAAACCAAGAAGGATGCACAGAGTGTGCACTTCCTTGAAACCTTCTAGTTTTGGGGTTTTCACTTAAAATTTCTTTCATAATTCTACAGGAAGTGCTGAGTCTCTAAACAGCTTTTCAAAGCCTTTGTCTTTACCAGAATACATTTACAAAGGGTATCAAAACATTTATGCCCACTTTTGAGTTCTCCTAAGAAAAAAGTCTAAAATGAAACATCAGTATGGGGTATGAAAAACAAAATTCCAGAGGAAATGACAAGGCCCAGATTTCCATGTTACGTGGGAGTATGCACAAAGAGGTGACTGACTGAAATAAGTGAAGATCTGCTTAATGATTTCTTGTTAATCCTTTTCAGTAAAATTGGTTCTCCACCCAAGACTCCTGTAAGCCAGGCAGCAGCTACCTCAGCTGGTCCTCCTAATATTGGAACAGAAGTTAATTCTGTGCCTCCAAAATCCAGCCCGTTTGTTCCCAGAGTACCTGTCTACCCTCCACATTCTGATAATGTTCAATATTTCCAAGATCCCAGGACTCAGCTGTCATACGAAGTTCCACAGTACCCACAGACAGGTGAGTGAGATGAGCATTGATTAAAAAATAGCTCTGAACTTTTCTCTAGAAAAATATCTTTTTATGGGAGATACCTTTCATGTCTGTTTTGTTGATGGCTATTTTATTTTCATTAAATATCAGCTGAATCTTCACTTAATGGAATACTAATCTTGTTAATTGCTGGGTGTGTGAGGGACATGCAGTTTGCTCCCAGTGTTGGTGGTTCTTGCCTTTGTGTATGTTATGCAGCTTATACTTTGACCTCCAGAAGAACTTGAACCTCAAGGTCTTTCATCTGCTTTTTCCTTTGTTAGCATTTAATTGTTTTTATTTAGGCTTGCTCTTGCCATGGCCTATGCATAAGGGTATCCATGGGCAGGATTTCAGAGGAATAGCATGCTTCTGCTGGGAGGCCTACCCATCTTTGTGCTTGCTCAAATGTTTTTGGAAAGTTCCAGTTATCTTTTTTAGGTTGCACTGTACATGTTTATATTCAGGCAAACAATCGCGGTTTACAGCACTGAGTTATTCACAAGCTTTCAAAAGATAGAAGTGTTCAGACAATCCTCTCCAAAGAAAGAACAATAAGTCAAATGTGAAATGGTTATTTATAGACTTTTTACTTTTTAGCAATATCGATTTTTATTTTAGAGAGAACTGTTTAAACTTCCTATATAAAGAACCGCTGAAGAGCCTGTGTTTTCAGTTCCATAGTTACACCACAGTACATAGGAGCAATATTTTCCAAACTGGGTCCAGTTGGTGAAGGGCCAGCACTGCATCTGTAAATGTGGTTGTCATACATGAAATGATATTTACAGAAACATGATAGAGATTTGTAAAGTTTGATTCCTCATTCTCTAAAGGTACTTATCAATGCTATTTACAGTTTTAGAAGGTGTAAAATTTTGGGTCATTTGTGGTTGTATTAAATATGCCTTTTTCCAATTTTTAAGGGTATTATCCAGCACCTCCAACAGTACCAGCTGGTGTGGCTCCCTGTGTTCCTCGCTTTGTGAGGTCCAATAACGTTCCAGAATCCTCCCTCCCACCTGCTTCCGTGCCATATGCCGATCATTACAGTACATTTCCCCCTCGAGATCGACTGAATTCTCCCTACCAGCCTCCTCCTCCGCAGCCGTATGGACCAGTCCCTCCTGTCCCCTCTGGAATGTACGCTCCAGTTTATGACAGCAGGCGCATCTGGCGCCCACAGATGTACCCACGAGATGATATTATTAGGAGCAATTCTTTACCTCCCATGGATGTGATGCACTCATCTGTCTATCAGCCATCATTACGGGAGAGGTACAACTCTCTGGATGGGTATTACTCTGTGGCTTGTCAACCTCCAAACGAGCAGAGGACTGTGCCTTTACCAAGGGTAAGTGAGAGCCAGGAAGGGAAGGTTCTATGCAGAGCTGGTTCTGAAGGTCATTATGGGAAAGTTGGTAAATAATTAGCATAGACCTGTTTATTACAGTGATAGAGACATGTGACTTGGACAAAGTTCTTGTTTTGTTTTTAACCTTAAAATGGGCTTGCAAAACAGACCACTGTAGTCTGCATCAGGACCAGAGCCCCTTTGCCTCTAATGCCCATATACGTTGCTTGAATTAATTGCATCTCTGAGTTGCTATACATGGGCCTACAAAACCTTGCGAAATTCTTCAAGTGGTATCAGTGGTAGGTTACAGACCACCTTAGGAAATTTGGGGATCCAAATGTGTCCCGTGCAAATATTTGCCTTCTGATTAGTGTGATGGGGTTATCCAGTCCTGTATTTATTCTTTCTAGGAGCCTTGTGGTCATTTGAAGACTGGTTATGATGAGCAGCTGAGACGGAAGCCAGAGCAATGGGCACAGTACCACACACAGAAAACACCTCTGGTATCGTCAACCCTTCCTATGGCAACACCATCTCCAACACCACCTTCTCCTCTCTTCAGTGTAGATTTCAGCACAGAGGTGGGAAGCCAGAGAACCTCTTTATTTTCCCTTCCTGCTTCTGTAAGATGCCATTTAATATTTCTAGTAAAGATTTCCTACCTACCATTTATTGTTCATAAAATTAAATTAATCTTCTAGCAAATGGAAAGTGAAACCTAATAATGATGCAATTCAGTTTGATATTAAGGTGATGCTAAGCATGACTGCCAAGAAGTGAAATGATTCAATTCAGCCTCACTAAATGAAATGTAATTTTATTGAACTGGTTTGTGAACCTCCAGGTTTTTGTGTAGGGAGCAGCAGTTGTGTTTTCCATTAAGAAGTACATTGCCTGTGATACTCCAAATGGCTTTGATTTGATGAATAGCCTGAATCAAACTTCAAGTGATTATCAAGTCCCAAAGAATAAATTCCCTTAGAAGTGGCAAAAGGCATTGGTAGGACATTGTGTACTTCTGTGATAAGTCCAGTAAAGAAGAAGAGGAACTCAAGAAATGGCAATAGTGAAGAAAATGTTTTTTGAAGGAAAAAAACATTAAAACATTTTATTCTGTCTCTCTCAATTAGATGCATCCAAAAAACTAATTTGAAAACCACTGTGCCAAGCACACTTAGCTGTGGTTTGACAGTTTTGCTGGTGATATTTGAGATGTTAAGAATGACTATTCAGATCAGATCTTGTAGGTGTACCTCAAGTGCCTTATGCATGCATTCAAGGTGGATCAGGATTTAGTCATTTTCACCCAGGTTAGAGGGCTGTAAGTTGTGTTTCTGTTTACCTCTGGCTAATACATTAAATGAAAATACATGGCTTCCTCTCAGTTAAGTTACTGTAGATATGTGCCTATAGAAACCAGACACTAACACAGATTCCAGTCTCTCATCTTGGCAGGCCAGGCAGTTATTTGTATGGCAGAGTTTGCCCTCTGACAGCTGCCAGGGGCACTGGTTTAAAATGTGACAAAACAGCTTATGTTGTCCCCAAGTCAAGTCTTGAATATGCTGGAACTTCTTGATTGACTTTGAGATACATTTACTGCTACTTAATTAAATTATCTTCTCATTTTAAAACTGAATTCCCTGTTTTTATTATTCACTGCTTATTTATTCCCTTTTCTGTAGTTCTCAGAGAGTGTCAGTGATTTGAGTGGAACTAAATTTGAGGAAGACCATCTCTCTCACTATTCACCGTGGTCTTGTGGCACTATTGGCTCTTGTATAAATGCTATCGACTCAGAGCCCAAGGATGTGATTGCCAATTCCAATGCCGTGTTAATGGTAGGGGTTTTCTGCATATTCTCTCATTAGTGTGATGATCCTTACATGCTGAAGTGTCTTCTGTTTGGTTAAACCAGCCTTTTTTTTAAAAAAAAAAATAAATAATAAGGTGATAGCTTCCATTATTAGTATTTTAAAGTAGTTCTGCTCATTTGAAGTTGTTTGGAATATCCTTTCCCAGTTTTGTAAATAGGCAACAATAATGAGAAAGTTACTGGCCAGTTGAAGAATGTGCATAACCTCAAATGAGTCCATGTATCTTGTGTCTCCTAAATATGTAGGATTTGGACAGTGGGGATGTTAAAAGAAGAGTGCATTTATTTGAAACGCAGAGAAGGGCAAAGGAAGAAGATCCTATAATCCCGTTTAGTGATGGACCCATCATCTCCAAGTGGGGTGCAATCTCCAGGTCATCCCGCACAGGTTATCACACAACAGATCCAATCCAGGCCACTGCTTCCCAAGGAAGTGCTACTAAGCCCATCAGTGTATCAGGTACAAGTTCAGGCTTTGTGTGATAAGAATTTATCATTTATAAACAACGTGAGCATTTCATCCTCTTTGTTCTTACCACAGCTATGAAATGCCAAGAGCTAAAGAACATGTATATCCCACTGAAGAGAAGATAGTGAATGCTATCTTAATTCTTTTGCAGATTATGTCCCTTATGTCAATGCTGTAGACTCAAGATGGAGTGCCTATGGCTCAGATTCTGCCTCCTCAGCACGTTATGCAGAACGGTATGGACTCCTTCCCAAGCTCTGCTCACAGCTTTTTCTGTAGCTTGCAGTTCTTCAAAGTCCTCAGTGTGTGTGTGTGGAATCTGCAATGTCTATTAATAGACATTCTTAATTTTAAAGTAAAAGACTTTTTACCTATCCAGCATAAAGCTTTGGAAAAAACTAGGTTAAAGCTTGTGTAGTTTTTAATACTTAATGCAGATAATAGTGCACAATTACTAGCAATGTATCCCTTGAGAGACCTATCAAAGAACTGGAGTCAGGTACTGCCAAGTTGTCATGTCAAAATCTTGAGCAGTTTTAGATTTTCTTGCCGTACCGTACCCATGTGTAAAATAAGGATGTTTGCTTCATACAATGCCTTAAGTATTTTGAGCCACAGTGAAGATGAAGAACACATTGTCTAAATCACATCTAGTTTCTGTCCAAAAATCTAAAATTGATAGACTAATGAAGTTATGGGATGTTTGATTTAGAGAACTTGCTTTTAATTCCAGTTTTGCCTTCTTTCTTTTAAAGGGACAGGTTTATAGTCACAGATTTGTCTGGTCACAGAAAGCATTCCAGCACTGGAGATCTACTGAGTATTGAATTACAGCAGGTAAGACTGGTTATTATACCATGAGGGTTTTTAAATTTAAAATAAACTGTTTAGTTAAGTGCTTTTAAATAAATTTTCTTAGTGTAGCTGTCTGACTGCACATGGTTGAGGTTTAATGTTTGGTAACTGATTGTTTCTTTCCAAAGGCCAAAAGCAACTCCTTACTCCTTCAGAGAGAGGCAAATGCACTCGCCATGCAGCAGAAGTGGAATTCTCTAGATGAAGGCAGTCGTCTTACCTTAAACCTTTTAAGCAAGGAAATTGATTTGAGGAATGGTGAGGTAAAGAAAGGGGTAATTGGGATGAAACAAATCTTGGAGGGTGTTTATATATATACAGAAGCACATGAATTTTAACTAAGAATTGAAACTTGGTTTTAACACTCACAAATATTTATAGCACATTCTGTGCGAGTTGAGTCGCTGTTGTTGCACTCAGTTATTTCCCTGAGATAAGGCAGGTGCACCTGCTGTGCTGCTGCTCTGAACATGCATTTACAAAGTGGGAAGAATGTGATAATCATTTTCATGCAATCATTAGTTTTTGTCTATTTGTATGTGTTATAAATCTAAACATTTTGTCAATGGACTCAAATTTCTTTAGTATTCATTTTATCACTCTGTTTCAGTACTTTATTGTGATTCAATTTAGCATTGTTGTCTGTTCCTGAAGTTCATTTTTGTCTGACTAGCTCTCTTGTATTGTAGAAATGTTGTGTGCTAGGAATGCATCTTCTGTTTTCACTTTAATACTCTAGTGTTGTGTGAAGCCAGTGAAAAGCCAACTTGATACTTAGAGAATATATTAATTCTTTTTTAGACTGATTATCCTGAAGACTGTGCAGACACAAAGCCAGATCGAGACATTGAATTGGAGCTGTCAGCCCTCGATACAGATGAACCTGATGGGCAAGGTGAACAGATAGAAGTGAGTACAAAAATCTGTGTGTCTGAAGAGGTCACTGGGTTTTCTCATTAGTCTTTATAGTTTAGTATGTTGATAGCAAAGCTTTTTGGTTTTAGTCCTAGTAATAACATCCAGCATTTCCCTTATTACTTATCACTTGGGGTCTTGTACTTCTCACTAAGATACCTGGCAGTTAATACTGGTGAAGTTAAAAACAGCTCACAGTTCATACTATTCTTGTCATTCATAGCCAACTTTGAGTAATTGGCTTTTCCTTTAGTGAAATGAAGTAGACATTCCAATAGTATGACATCAAATTAAGGAGTGTTATGACCAGACTCCCGTTTCCATTAGCATAATGTAGTGGAACTTAATAGGAAAACGTAAAGCTGGTAGGGACAGAGTTGATGGGCATTTCTCCTTTTCTCTTATAGGAGATTCTGGACATACAGCTAGGGATTAGCTCCCAAGAGGATCAGCTGCTCAATGGAACAACCGTAGAGAATGGGCATCTGCTAAAGCAGCACCAGAAAGAATCTATGGAACAGAAGAGACAAAGTTTAGGTGAAGACCTTGTGATTCTGTGAGTGTTAGACAAAACAGCAGTGTCTGCCAGTGTTAGACAAACAGAAGCATCAGAATAGTGGAAGCATGGTTGTATAAGGATGAACTACGTACCTGCTCAGACTTGGATTAGACATCTGCATTGTTTGTACATGGTGGAGCGAGAAGAACCTGTTAGGAAATAGAATTAGGCCACAAAGCTGAAAGTCCCAGGCTGGTACCATTGTCCGTATGCATCGTTGTAATCGTACACACTGAAATGTGTCACAGCTGTTCAAAATACCTTTCACAGTCAGTAAGCAAAA